TGAATATAAAAATTACTAATTTTTAAGATTTACATATTTTCGCTCTATATTTGCCGTAAGCTGTTATAAGTAAATAGGGGTTTAAACTTAAACATAACCAAGCATATTAGTGAGAGCTTTCCATTTCTATTGGCAACAATCGAAGTCAAGGTCATCTATTTCTTTGCTACTCATACACAAGCAAGAAAAATCATTAATTACCAGCTAATTAACATGCGTGCATATTATTAAGTATACGAATACATGTACTTGTAGTAAACAATCGCTTTAGCTTTGATTATACAAATGTACGAATATATGTACATGCAATTATAATACACATACACAGAAACCCGTATAGATCAACTCATTTGTATATGTTTACAATATAAAGCTATTTTAGCTCTTAAGCATTTCAGAAACGGATAAAAAACTAGTTTCGTCTGCGGTATCTGGTTTCTTGAACTAGTCTTTGGGCTTCCTATGCGACCATAGCGGTAGTCAATATAAGACCAGTAATTTCTGTTAACTTGTTTATCGCCACAAACGCCGTTTAATAGGCAGACTTATTCATACATTTGCATTACTACATATACCTAAGTAAGTCTACGAATAAAAATGCTCTGCATCTCAATGTTATAATTTTTTACTGAAGTCAAAGTCATAAGCAAATAAATATTTCGAAATGATAAAATTCTCATTACGTAAAAGGTATGCATATTACCTTTTGTATATGTACCTATACCAGGTGTATGTGGTATATAAATGTGCAAGCAATTCCTAACACATACTACACAATATAATAAACAAATCTGTAAATCTAAGTTAATTTATAAAACAATTATCGAAAAGAAGAGGAGAAGAAAACGAGAGCAAGACAGTTCAAGCGAACATTGTTATCTAATATTTGGCGTGTCAATAACAAAAAAGAACTTGCGATACTCAGTGCCCACTTAAAAAAATTCTGTAATATCTTTTCGGATTGTTACAAGTTACTCTTGCTTCACTAAGGCGGGTACTACTCTTAATTTCGCGAATTCTGCAAACACAACTTAATCAGGAGAGTGTTGAGTTATGCCTTCTAACTAGCTGGTTGACTGATTTACTACGCCGCTAGTAAATGTTTGTGTTTCTCATAGGACAATAAAATAGGATTGTTGCATTTTTGTATCCAATCAAAATCATGTAGTTCAATATTAATCAATTGTTTATAATAAAATATTACTTTTTAATTATACAGCGGATAATAAAATTAGCTTTACATTTGGTTCCCAGATTTGACGACGAAATACAAAAGCTACTCTACAGTTAAGTAATTTCGGTGTTTGTTAACGAAATGTCGTAAACGGTCGTATACCATAAAGAACACTAGAACGATAAATGTGTGGTCACATTCTTCTAAAACAAATGTATCCCAAACAGAAATAAGTATCAATTCACAAGAAAATAGAAAAATGCTCTCCCAACATATTGAGATAGATTTTCTTAAATTCTTTATGCGTATAGTTTAATTGACAGTTACCAGACTTTTCAGAAATCCTAAAATATCAGACTAAAACGAAAAAAGACGAAAATGAGCGCTTTTAATACCGGATGATCGCTGATAAATTTTTTGGTCTATCGCTCTCCAGTTTTGATTGATTTAAAAAAGCACCTATATTTTATTATGCAGTGTAGCAATACAAGCAAATCTTTATAATAGCTGTAAGCAATTCTTCCCCTTTTGAACGAAAAAAATGATACTAGGCTTTTGTAACCTCTATTTCAAAGATTCTGGCATTTTATTTGCAATATTTAACAAGTAGGTTTTGATGTTTCATTGCAACTAAGTTTTTAAAGCAAAAAACGTAAACTTATATTTTAAATAAATTAGATTAGGATCGCATAGAAAAAGTTTCTGGACTTTTCTTCGCTGTCATAACTCTCCTCTGGTGTCCTCTTGATTATACCACGTAGAATATTCAAAGTGATAATTTTATGACAAGTGAGGTAAATTTTGGAAAAGTAAATACATATATTTTATTTATATAATTGTAGCTATTTTATTGAAAAGTTTTTTCTATACTATGTACATATGGATTCGTCCAGCATAGACATGAGTATACGAGTATCAAATACCAATGTACAAAGCCCCACTAAAATCGTAATGAATTCCTTGATGTGGATCACAACACCCTCTACGAGACACATTTCTCCGTTATTGCGAATTCGATACAATAAGGTATGGACGGTATATATATATATACATATATACATATATATATAAATGCGAATGCACATACTACATCAACTCCATTAAAGATAAAAAAGCATCATGCCAACAGCAACAATAACAAATAAACACTGATACACGTAGCGGTAGAAATCAACATAATACCAGTAGGTGAGTATGTGGCTAAATGAGCACGATCGGTGGCCCTACGTTCGCTCCACCAACGTTATGCTGACGTCGTCTGTGGTAAAAGTATAAAAACCGAGAATAACGTTCGCGATACTTTTCCGTTTCAGTTCAGTCTGCACCCAACTGCGGAGTTGGCAAGTTAAGTTTCATTAACATATAAGACAAATTTGTGACTCATCGACGGTAAAGTGTGGTACATTTGGTCTACATTAAACGCGTCAATACGATTAGCGCTCGACTACGAATATTAAATACGCGAAGGTGTGTAAGAGCTGTTTTCATTCGGTTGACTAACATTGTTATTGTTTTTTTTGATTGTTTTGATTGTTTTTTTTCTGCATAATATAGTATTCAAGTCAAGCACGAACTAAAAAAGATGCCAAGTTACCCTTATATGAATAATTACTTGAGACAAGAGTAAATTTGGAAATTTTAAATTGTGGAACCTGTTGTACACCGTAAAGGGCACAATAAGTGAGATTGCAACATTGCAAAGCAGCAGCAGTTGGCCATTTCGTGATTTCTTGCTAATAGTCTAGTCAGTCGAAATTTTGAATGAACAATCGCGATTCGTACTTTTACTTAAACTTCATATGCATTTACGCCTATATATGTATACATATGTACATAAAAATAACTCCGCATTAATGCCAGAGAGTTATATAAAATATTACATTTTGATTGTCCTAATAGCAGGACAAAATGTAATACATGCAATTTTTTTAATTTCTTATCAACTGATTTTACATCAGGTATATACACAAATACACGTATGTATATATTATTTATTGTATCTGCACGCGTATGTATGTATGTACATAGCCAAAAATTCGAAACTTACGTGATTTGAATTGCCTTATAATTATATAAGCTCTCCAACATATATACATTCGTAATTGTTAAATAAAAACGGGATTATTGGTTTTTATTTAACACGTGGCTTATACAGATGCATAATCCTATATACTTACATACTTGTATGTATGTAGTCAATAACTAAAACACATTTTTTGCATTTTTAATTGTAGCCAAATCAGTGTGTTACTTTAGTTTTGTTACACATTGTTGTTTTTTGATACCCAATTAAAAAATGACACTTAAGTAAATTACTCATAATTTCCGGAAGTTTGATTCTAAATATAATCAACAGTATATTACTATTTATTTACTATCTGCCGCCCAAATACAAGTATTTAGCACGGTTTCATAAATAATCATGCAGGCTAATAAGAACATATTTACCTTCATACATGCACATAGTACCTTTTATCATTTATTATATATCGCTCCACTTGAAATGAACAAAGGTAAACAGTGTTTCTAATGCCGTAATAAATGCCGCTTATGGGGTTCAGAATTTGCTGTGTTTGTTGTATTTCTATGGTCTACGACTCCAATAGAACGGTTCTTATTTGAGACTTGGGAACGCACTGTAGTCTTCATGAATCAAATTAGGTTTTGTTTTATTAATAAGATACAATTTCATTATTCTTTGTTTATATCCGATTATATAATAATTCGAACGCCCATTTGACAAAAACACGGCACAAACTATAAAATGTGATAATAAACAATAATAAACAGAAACAACTGATATAATAAAAAAAAACAAAAACAACGTATTAACCACTCTACCAATATTTAGAATAACATCATTTTCTAAATATGGTGAACTCCCAAACTCCAACCAGTATTTACCCACTTATGTACGCATGTATTGTATGTCAATATTTAAATAAAAGAGACATTATAAAGTGCTAAAAATTAAAATATGCTTTCGTAACGTTGAATTATCCAAATTTTAATTTATACAAATAATAAACAAGTTTTACTTTTACAACAGACTTGCAAAAAATTAATTTAAAAACTTTATAGATTATCCATTCTTCAATCTCATTCATGTCTTTTGGCTTTTGTTACATCATTGTCATCCTGATTACAAATTTTTATACCATGAATAGGATATATTAAGTTTGCTACGAAGTTTGTAACATTCAGAAGGAAATGTCAGAGGTTGCTAACAAAAATGTATGTATAAATGATCAGCATAACGAGCTGAGTCGATTTAGCCGTGTCCGTCTGAAATTGTATCATATCGATCTGAAATTGTATGAAAGCATACTGTTGGTCTTCCTTTGTCCGTCCATTATAATTGTGCAAAACGACTTCAAAAAATCAATTATTAACTAAATGAGCAAGTAAATACGATATAGTGAAAAACTCAAAATATTTCATTAAAAATATGCAAACTGTTTTATTTACTTTTATTGTGCGCGAACAGGAATCACTTCAATTAGTATAAACAAGTAAACATGTTTCGTTGAAAAATGATAACGGTTCTCTTGTCTTCTGTTTCCTGTGTGGCTACAAAACCAAGCATAGTGTTCCCCATAAATACAAAGGAAACAAAATTTAAAAGTAAATTTGATAAAACCGAACTGCCCAGTAAATGCACAAATGCACGTCTTTGAAACTTTAATGGCAAGATAAAAAATATGTGTTGTAATGCTGCTGAATTTAAAAAAATATCAAAACCTTTTGGTGAAATGAAACATCAAAACATGTTTTTATTTAAATAAGATATTTTCAAACAACAAAATATTTATAATTCTTTCTTTAATTTTTTACAGAAGTGTTAAACCAGTTGAACTAGTGACCCAAAGTTAGAATGTGCGGTAAGTAATAGCTGTGAATAGCCAAATAACTTTAAGATTTATTATTCTAATCATGTTTCCACCTTAAAAATTAAAAGAACAGTTACAAACAAGAAATGAACATTCAACATATAATACAACCTGACAACTTCTTTTTAGATGTTTGTATAATTATTTGAAGAGGAGGTAAAGGCAGACCTTTATTATAAGTATTCAAACAGACATAACATTAAATTACTCTTAAATTGATTTCCGATAAATCTCAAATTTAGATTTCAGCGTAGATTCGTCATAACACCATCGCAAAGTAAGATTTAAAAAAGTAAATTGTACCTGCCTTTTTATTATAGTGTTTCGACACTAAGTTTGCTTCTAACCTTGAATCTAGTCAGATGAAGATTGCGTTTAAAGTATTATTCAATTGTTAACTAAAAGTTTAAGAAATCCTGAATTTACGCTAATCTGAGTTCTGCTAAAATTCCTCTTCCAAAGATACTATCAAGTCGAATAGCTTAAAAATATATTTATAAAATATTTAAAATAATGCTTTGTAGTAAATGAATAGACTAAGGCATAGAGAGAAACAATCAAAAGGAATCTTTTCTCAAAACAATATTAAGAGTTCAATAATGCGATTGTAAAAACTCTGTAATATAAATTATATTAAGAGTCAAACAATATTTTTTCTCAAAACTGTACTAAATCACTTTTCCATGTATGCGGTGACAAGATTTATACAAAAATTTAAAACCGGTTTTTCACTAACAGTATTGTATTAATGTACGGTATGTGCGATTTGCCTGCGTGGCTTCTTACTTGTTCACTTGCTTTACGGTACTAGTTCGTACCGGTGTCACCTGTGTCATTGCGTCACAACGATTTGACATTTTTCGAAATGAACTGGTTACCTCAAAACCAAATGTAAAAGAGTAAAGGCGCATTCACATACAACTTTCCTTGCTTTACGTGACAGTTCATATCGAAACAACGAAGCGCAGTCTTTGCTTTCAGTGTTTCTCCCTAATAAAAATTGCGATCGTTGCTTGGCAAAGCATAAAAATATGAGAGTTGCCAACATTGTGTTTGGCGTGGCGTTTATGTGAACATACTCTAATAAAAGTGTACATCGAACTTTTCTGTCAAATCAAATGTAGGACACAAAGCGAAGAAAAAGTTGTATGGTAATTGGCCATAAGTTATCAAATAATTCAGTATCTCTAGAAATGATGAAAAATTTCAAAATATAAAATGAACTATTGAACTTTAACAAATAACTTGCAGATGGAGTAAATTCGTACATGCCCATGTAATAATTGAATATAAAACACTAAAACGAGTTATTTTTTTGATCCTCGGAGGTTTGACTTCGTCTAATATCTCAAGTCGGTTATTTCCTACTTCTAGAAAGCCTATGTTATTTATCTTTGTAACAAACGAATGCTAAATAAGTATTTCTTATTTTAATTTTATTTCAAAAGGAATATTTGCTTATCTGAATTACCTTACCCCCAAGTCCCGTCACGAAGTTTTGGACTTGCTTCTAAATGGATTAAAACGTTTGGAATATCGTGGCTACGATTCAACAGGTGTGGCTATAGATTCACCGCAAGCCAATGATATTGTAATGGTGAAGCGTTGCGGAAAAGTAAAGGTTCTAGAGGATGCCATAGCTGAACGTAAGCTTACCTCACTAGCCGATTTATTTAGGAACTGAAAATGCATATAATACTAACTAATTAAATCAATTCCATATAAATATGTAGATTTTAGTGGTAAGGAATACGATGAACCCGTGATGACACATGTCGGTATTGCGCATACTCGTTGGGCTACTCATGGTGTACCGTGTGAAACTAACTCTCATCCACAGCGATCCGACGACGAAAATAGCTTCGTTGTAGTTCACAATGGCATCGTTACCAATTATAAAGATGTAAAAACATTTTTGGAGAAGCGGGGCTACGTTTTCGAATCAGACACTGATACAGAAGTTATTGCTAAACTGGTACATCACTTGTGGAAGAAACATCAAGGATATTCGTTTAGAGAACTTGTGGAGCAAGTGATCCAACAACTGGTATGATATGGCTAACTAATACTTAACAAAAGCTGAGTACTTAATATGTAATCATATGGGGCCTACCAACTGTCTGAAATGTTTAACACATCTGTAACTGTTTTAATGTTCTTGTAGGAGGGTGCCTTTGCAATAGCAATTAAGTCAAAGCACTTCCCTGGAGAATGCGTGGCTTCCAGACGTGGTTCACCGCTACTTGTTGGTATTAAAACGAAGACACGCTTATCCACTGATCATATACCTATTTTATATGGAAAAGGTAATTTGATTATTTCACCTATTTATAATAGATTGTATGTATATTACAAAATTGTTATTGTATTACAAATGTTCAATTACTCGACTCTTAAAACAAACTGGCAGCAGGATAATATGTCCTCTGATGCATGACCATTTGTACCGCGCTTCTTCCTGTGGTGGTGAAATGTTTTTATCTCGTCAATAACATTTTAGTAACGCCTAGATTTCTGGTAGCGTCCATGCCTTCGTTTTTCTCTAAACAAGTTTTAAGTTTTTAAACCCTATAAAAAAAATCTTTGTTTATTTATTTTAGACAGTAATTTGTTATTTGAGCCATTTACAATAGTGAAACTAAAATTTATAAAATAAATATTAAAATGCTAATAAAATAGAAATCTGTATCATTGAAGAAGCAGTTAAGAAATGGCATATACATATATAACACATATACATATGTACGGGTTTTAGAGACTATTTAAAAATATTCTTTCTGAAATCGCATATATTCTTCTATTTTTTCAAGTATTGTTGATCGCTAATAATAATGTCTATATTAACTGATTCGATTCGCCATTACACGTAAAAGCAACAACAAAATTATCGAGTTGAATTCGTACAAGAGAATGGTTCGAACGACAAATAAAAATTCAAAAAACTATTTTTTTCTTGTATTTTAAAACTCAAGACTTAAAATCAAGTATAGTAATTTATAGAAAACAAAAATAAAGAGTTACAGCATCGTGTTTTAACGCTAAAGAAGAATTTCTCCACTAAGAAAGAATCATAACACTATTACGCATGTCTCAGAAGGCATGTTAGTGCAGGCATGGATGCACCACAAGTGCTGCCGGTTTGTTTGAACATCTGATATAGTGTGTTCGATTCTCTGGAAACTAACGCTTGTCGAATCGAAGACAACTATTTTAAATATTGATTATACAAATGAATGTATGTACATACTTATCTAAGGTAGGTAGTCAGTTATACAATACTTTGCATTAAGTAAAATTTTGTATACGTTTTAATGATGTACATAAACCTTGTTTGCATACATATTTACGTTTTTAATACTAAATAAATTGTAAATTGTTGACTTTTATGAAATTTGTTTCTTAATAACCTCTCTTTTATGTACTCTATACACCGATATTTTATAAATTTCTGGAAACTATGCGCATAATCTGTACATGTATGTTACAAAACCCTCATCTTTTGAAACCGCTATCCAATCCTACTACTTGCCTATCGTTTTCAACTCTATTTCCTACAAACAGACGAAAAGTCATCGCAAACTTGTGAAAAAGGTACCTCGTATTCATACCTGAATTTCTAAACATACATATATGTATATGTACATATGTACGTATCGCAAATTGGTTGCTTAATTGTTGGTAAAGGTGCATTAGTTTCTATAATATACTAACGTTAAGAACAAAATAAGACAGCATGTCCTCTTAATACAAATACAGCAGACAAATACTTACTTTATTTCAGTGGCGTAGCAAAAGGGGGAGGCGGGGCGTATCGCAGCGGGTGTCACCTTTTTTGGGGTGACACTCACCCGGTCTCTCAAAAATAAATCGCTAGCACAAAAATTTCAAGCCAAAGCTAGAAAGAAGAAATTTTTATTGTATAACAATTCTTTTTTTGTCTTAGTAGTGCACCGAATGCCACCCAAGTTAGCTACGCCACTGCTTTATTTATAATTTAATAAAAACAAATAACTCTAATATGCAACTAACCACGCTTTAACCTTGTTAATTTTTTTGTAATTTAATATAACAAATAGTAAACTATTTAACCTACAGACTTTTACAAGCAATATTAAATTCTACTATTTCTTATGTTCCTATTCATACATGTAATATATTATATTTACATACCTCCATATATTGCATGTGTGTATTATGTATTTAGTTAAGTGGAATGGAAGCTCTTCTAATAAACTTTTGTTATGTAGTTATTAGGTAATTGATATGAGGATTATAGAATTATGGTTTATTACTAGACAATATTCCGCCCAATATATAAAATTAATTGATTCGTTTGCGAATTCTCCACTTTACCATATACACATATATTTATACAGTGAATAGGGTATATTAAGTTTGCCAGTTTGTAACACCCAGAAGGAACCGTGGAGACCCTAAATGTATACATAAATGATCAGCATATCGAGCTGAGTAAATTTAGCCATGTTCGTCTGTCTTTATATACGCGAACTAGTCCCTCAGTTTTTGAGATACCGATATGAAATTTTGCATACGTCCTTTTCTTTCTAAGAAGCTGCACATTTGTCGGAACCGTCGATATCGGATCACTATAGCATGGATTATTATCTAAGGCGATGGTGCAATCAGAAATTATTCGGATTGGAATACTATAACATATGGCTGCCATACAAACTGAACGATCGGAATCAAGTGTTTGTATGGACAAATTTTTCATGTTAGGAGAAATCTTCACGAAATTTGGATTATTTCCTGAGACTATTGTGCAATCTCCGCATAAATTTTTCAGATCGAGTCACTATAGCATATAGCAGCCATAAAAAATTAACGATTGGACCGAAGTTAACGTTTTTACTTGTTTTTATTTATTTTGACGAAGCACCTACATATAGATATGTATGGTATTTGTGGTATAGTCAGTCATGGTAGTCAGAGTTCCAATTTCAGAGCTAATATCACATATATAATTGTATTAGCAGTTATAAATGTTTATTTACTTATATAATATATTATAGTACTAGACGGGTTAATTGTCACTATATCAGTACATTTCGTACGAATTTTTAAATTCAGCTTCCATTTGCAAACTAACTTAACTTGTTAACTAACTTAATACTTTCATTTTTAATTTTTGGAAAAATGTGTAAACCTGAAATACTGCGAAAACTGGCCGAATCCTGTCGCAAACCACCAAAGACACAGAGGCATCCAAGACAAAAGGTAAATCCACCTAAAATATTTAAAAGCAATCAGTTTATGCACTTCATTTACATACATACGCAAGCATAGCTATTCAATCGCTTTTCATAGTTATGTGGTTAACGCCGAAACAACATTACATAATCACTCGAAGTTTTGCACCTCTAAATTCACAGCTTTGCTGTTCGAACTATTTATCCACAAATTATTAAACATTAACGATGAATCAAAACACTAGTCCATGGCATTGAACAGAATTGTGTGCTGAAACTGTAAAAACTCATACGAATTCCACTTCACTTAAAAAAAGCTAGACGTAGTTAGAGAATACTCGTATATTTGTTTTTGTTTTTTCAAATATTAGTAATGTCAGATAACTCGAATTCCATGGGAGAGTCAATGAATTACTACATTTACTCTTAAGCGAACTTGCGCTAACTGTGCGCTCTCTGGAGTTTCTGTCCTCACTAGCAATAGCATGAATCTACTTCATCATCAGACTCGTTTGAGTGACTGGTCATAGCGGAATCGCTGGAAACTGCAAACCACATGGGTATATGGGTGTTCTTGTCCCGGTCACATCAGAATTGGACCGAGTTGGATC